CATGGACTGGGGCTGCCAGGGTTAGGTTACTTCTTTTTTTTTTGTTTTTAAGAAAAAAAAAAGAAAAAAAATAAAAAAAAAAAAAAAAAAAAATAAAAAAAGGGGGGACTGGGGGGGATATTTTCCTAGGAGGAATAAAAGGGGCCAGAAATCTCCCTCCGCGCCCAAGAGGACCTCAGCACCGCAAGTAGTGCAGATGCAGCATGGAACCCGTGCCATACCCTACCCATCACGCCAGTAAACCGGCAATCCGGGATAGCAACCTCACATCTGCCGAGCTACCTCGGTGGACAAAAGAGGGGGCGGCCGGAAATCCGCCACAAAGCATACCTCCTTCGGCCACCACCCCCGGAATCCGAAAGGTGGCTTCCACAGATACACCCGTCGCCCGAGAGACACCCAAAGCCACCCTCCGGGATACCGGAGAGGGATCAGGACATCCCCAGGCAATCCAGATTCCACGGCAAACTACGCCACCGCCAAGAACCTCAACGGAATGGGATGGACCCCGGTACCCTTTCCCCTACCTAGGAACTAGCGTGCCTGTGGGAAAAAAAAAAAAAAAAAAAAAAAGGAAGGGCAAAGGGGAGGGGTGGGGAGGAGGAGGAGGAAAGGAAAAAGGGGAGGATGGGATAGGGAACGGGGGATTGGGGGGTAATTAGGTTCGGTCTGAGGAAGTAGACCGACAGGTCTAATTCCTCAGACCAAGAGCCTCTTAAACCACGCCAAGGAGCCCCCCTTGAAGAGGAACTACTTTCATTACGTGCTGTATTATACCTTCTATACTTATTTATCCTCTTATTCATAAAATGTGTATTACTTATTACCAAACCTCTTTCTATGCTTAGCTCAATTAAAGACTCCCCATTTTCTTTTACCCCTGGCACCCCAAATTTACCTACTACTCCCTACTACTTACACACGTTAGCACTGAAATCCCCAACCCTAGGTACTCTTATACGGGTGTGAAGCAAATTGTGAATATTGCAGCAAGGAGGCGGCTAGAGGCAGTGGAGATGTCCGAGTTCAATGTGTGGTGTAAATGTTATAAAAAAAGAATTTGTGGCTTGGAGATTATGAGGTGCTGGGTTACTAAAAGTATTAACCAGAGGGCTGGAAATGGGAAGTACAATGCCTGCACTTTAAAGGATGGGTCTGGGATATTGATACTTTGGAGGGATTTCTAAACTGTCGTACCTGAGTCCCTCTGCAAAGACATTGATTATGTATGAGTGAGGTGAAAGTGTTGAATGATGATGAAAGTATTTTCTTTTTGGGTCACCCTGCCTCAGTGGGAGATGGCAGACTCCTTTTCTTCTTTCATCACACCAGCCGTATCCCACCGAGGAGGGGTGGGCCAAAAGGAAAAATGAAAGTTTCTCCTTTTACATTTAGTAATATATACAGGAGAAGAGGTTACTTGCCCCTTGCTCCCGGCATTTTAGTCGCCTTTTACAACACGCATGGCTTATGGAGGAAGAATTCTGTTCCACTTCCCCATGGAGATAAGAGGGAATAAACAAGAACAAGAACTAGAAAGAAAATAGAAGAAAACCCAGAGGGGTGTGTATATATATGTTTGTACATGTATGTGTAGTGTGACCTAAGTGTAAGTAGAAGTAGCAAGACGTACCTGAAATCTTGCATGTGTATGAGACAGAATAAAAAGACACCAGCAATCCTACCATCATGTAAAACAATTACAGGCTTCCGTTTTACACTCACTTGGCAGGATGGTAGTACCTCCCTGGGCGGTTGCTGTCTACCAACCTACTACCTAGATGGCAGATTTGTCGAATTAAAAAGAAAAAAAAAAAGTCTAGGTAGTAGGTTGGTAGACAGCAACCGCCCAAATAAGTGTAAAATGGAAGCCTGTACTCGTTTTACATGATGGTAGGATTGCTGGTGTCTTTTCTCTGTCTCAAACATGCAAGATTACAGGTACGTCTTGCTACTTCTACTTACACTTAGGTCACACTACACATACATGTACAAGCATATATATACACACACCACTCTGAGTTTTCTTCTATTTTCTTACTAGTTCTTGTTCTTGTTTATTTCCTCTTATCTCCATGGGTAAGTGGAACAGAATTCTTTCTCCGTAAGCCACGTGCATTGTAAGAGGCAACAAAATTGCCAGGAGCAAGGGGCTAGTAAACTCTTCTCCTGTACAAATTACTAAATTTAAAAAGAGAAAGTTTTGCTTTTCTTTTTGGGCCACCCTGCCTCGGTGGGATATGGCTGGTTTGTTGAAAGAAGAACATAATGACTTCAAGGGTGGATAAATCTGAAGTGGAGGGAAGGTGGGGTAAGGGTTGCCATTAGAAAGGTTGGAGGAAGGAGGTAAAGGAGGCTTTGTGAGCAAGCGGATTGGACATGTAGAAGGTGTGGGTAATTGTGTTAGATAAGAGTGGGACTTGAGCTGTTGGAGTGTAAGCAAGGTAACATCTTGTGAAGGGATTCAGCTCACCCCTGGCAAGACAGTGATAAGAGGGAACAATAGTGTTTCTTTTCTTTGGGTCACCCCATCTTGGTGGGAGATGGCGAATGTTAAGAAATTAACACTTTACAATTTATTCTCATTTATGAAGCAATTTCTGTTCTAAAAAAAAAAAAAAAGCATTTACTCTTGTCAATTATTTCTGTATACTATGTAAGAATTTATAGTGGTTTACACAAGTCATAAATACAGTGGTCCCTGGAGTTATGATGGGTTGGAGTTATGATTTACCCCCAAAGAGCAAAGTGTGTTGTAAATATCATGCAGAGAATTCAGAGAACAGTGGGGTAACCCATGGTATCAGTTAGAGCTGAAGAGGAGATGTTGAGGTGGTTTGGGTACGTAAAGAGGATGGAGAGGGACAGGACAAAGTGTACAAATTTGATTAAATGAGGCTTTGCATTATAAGGGCTTGAACATCTAGCAGGCTTTTGTGAACATGTTAGATAGGAATGAATAGAGATAAGTGGTTTTAAATTTATGTACTGTTGGAGTGCAAGTAACATTTACGAAAAAAAAAAAAATTGAATCTTTTATGAAAAGATTCAGGGCAATAGGTTAGCCGGACTTAAGTTCTGTATGTAGGAAGGGCAGTGCCTGCACTCTGAAGGAGGGGTGGGAATGTTGCAGCTGGGAGGGTAATCTTAACTGAGTTGTGAGCACTTTTAGCAAGACAAAGACAGATAGGAAGAGAGATGTTGAGTTCTTTTTCTTCCTCTGGGTTGGAAATGACTGCTGCTGCTGCTGCTGCTGCTGCTAAGAAGTAATCTCCAGTTACTATTAGGTATACGGTAAATATCTTTCCATGATAATATGGATGGGGTTGTCAGAACTGTTCTTTTATTTCATAATTAATGTTCATGGAAATAAAAGTTTATTGGTCAGATTTTTATAGGTCACCTCTAAAGATAAATTTTCCACAATATTGATTTTTAATTGTTAAATTATCGATTACTGTAAAATGATGTGCCAAAATCAGATTTGCCTCTCTTTAACCACAAGAAGGATAATTTACCTTTATGTAATTATTTGTTAATTTGTGTTATTCTGCAAGCAGTTTTCGGAACTTCAACACAAGTTGTTGGGGTTAAGCAAAAACCTAACTTACTGGAAAAAAAAACTAGTTGAAGTGCTCATGATGTGATGAAAACCATCGCACCAAGCATCCCTCTGAGCCCTCACTGGCACTTCTACACAAAACAAGTTCATAATGACATTACTGAATTTCTATTGTTGTTGTTTAAAGTATATAGTTGACAAAAAAAAAATCTTCATGTTAGTTATGACAGGATTATTTTATTTGCAACTAGGCACAAATAGATTTACAAAGGTAAATTTATATTAAATGGAGGTATTCCTGTATCCTACCACTATTTCAGAATATATATATAACTGATGTTACAATAAAATATGAAATTGCCATTATGAAATATAAAGCTTCCTAGCAGTATATTGTATTATAAATAACACCCTCAGGAAAAAATTATGTAATACATAGGTGTATATCAAAGCTACTGAGGTCAGTTAGGCTACAACCATAAATATTTTCCCTAAATGATGAATAATACAAAAAGATCTAATAAACTTTAAATAACTCCATTAAATAAAATGATTATGGACAGCATCTAAGCATTTTTTACAAATTATAACAGCACATTTATAAATTATGTGAACTTTTATGCACACACACCTAAACAGTATAGTATTTATACATTTTTTACAATGAACATGACAACCAAAAAGGCAATAATACCTGTACTTAGTATATATACTATGCACCATATTAAAAAATTTCTTGATGGCTACTCACCTGTACATAATGTAACCAATAAGTAAACTAACTGGATCACCGTAAAAGCAATGAACAAGCCTGTAGATACGCAGCTGACAGAAGGACAGCCAACACCACCAGGTGCTGAAGACAACCTTTGATTCGCTGTACCAAGGTCACGCTAACAAGAAAAAATAAATAGTAAATCCAAATTAAATTCACTAAATTGATAAATAAACTAAAATCATTCACTTGGAATTTGCTAAATGACACATGCGGATACACAGCATCAATAAGTATGTACCTCTTTTAGAAAAAAATCTAAGAATTATATTTCCCGAAGTCCAATGAGATTAATTACTTTTTTGACAGTACTAACTAAACATTTTCTAAACAGATTTAGAAATAAAAATGGAGGGTAAATGATGTTAGGATAAATAATGACTATTAATGAAAGGAATCTGTACTGAGTAAACTTGCTTCTATGTACTACAGCATCACACAACCACATCATAATATTGATGCACCATTAAATCTTATTCTTAATGTGACTTCAAAACATCATGTAAACTATAAAATAGCTTTCATGACTTCACAAATGGTAATGCTAATACATTTAAATCACTAAGCCACCAACACTCATAATGATTGAAATTATCTGTTGCAACATTAAAGAAATAGTGACTACAAACATGAGAGCAAAGATCCATTAGTCACTTATATTTACAGCATATCATTTCTTACCTTAACAATATTAAGCCCTTCTTTCATTTCATTAAGGGTAACGTGTAAGTCGTAGCCAACTGGCTGCACCGAGCCCTGTGGCTTCTGACTGTTGGTCAGAAGCTGACTGCTCTTCTGGTGGATTTCATTTACAAAATTCCTGCCACAAATAATGTAACAATAAGTATTATATATACCAGCCCAACAGCTCAAAGTTAAATACTGACAAATGCTTAATATCAGTACTGGCATATAACACTAATATACATACTGTATTTTTATTTTAAGTACATTTACTTCTCATATGGCCTTACTAAACAAAAGATAACTGACATTACAGAAATAGCTTTTTCACTCTACTATATGGTATAAACCTTTGTAATTGATACTGACAAATTGGCTGAAAAAGACACACAAGCAAATGCCCTAGGATATTATTAGAAAATGTTTTGGTCCTGGGACCTTGATCACTTCTAACACAAAATTTGAAAGTAACTATATATATATATAGGCTGGAAGTGATGTGTGTCAAATAGTGACCTGAAAAATGAAACTGAGGCTTATTGAAGATAGGGGCAGGTAGACAACGAGGTCACGAGATTCCTGTATTGTGAGGTAGGTTGGACTTTGCCAGGTTTTATGTCAATAGTGATCAAGGTCCAAGACTAAAATATTTTCTAATAAATGTGCTAGTGTTTGCTCATGTCTTTAAACCTAGCCTTTGGAGTAAATATAGCCTCTCCTCACTTAACGAAGGAGTTCCATTCCTAAGACTACGTCAGTAAACGAATCTGTCGCTAAGTGAGGAGCATACTACAGTGGACCCCCGCATAGCGAACTTAATCCGTGCAAGAGGGCTGTTCGTTATGCAAAATGTTCGCTATGCGAATTAATTTTCCCCATAAGAAATAATGGAAATAAAATTAATCCGTGCAAGACACCCAAAAGTATGAAAAAAAAATTTTTTTACCACATGAAATGTTAATTTTAATACACACAAACTGAAAAAGGCATGCACAATTAAATGACACTTACTTTTATTGAAGATCTGGTGATGATTGATGGGATGGGAGGAGGGGAGAGAGAGTGTTAGTGTTTAGAAGGGGAATCCCCTTCCATTAGGACTTGAGGTAGCAAGTCCTTTTCTGGGGTTACTTCCCTTCTTCTTTTAATGCCACTAGGACCAGCTTGAGAGTCACTGGACTTCTGTCGCACAAGATATCTGTCCATAGTGGCCTGTACCTCTCGTTCCTTTATGACTTTCCTAAAGTGTTTCACAACAGTGTCATTGTAATAGTCACCAGCACGGCTTGCAATAGCTGTGTGAGGGTGATTTTCATCAAAAAAGGTTTGCACTTCAAGCCATTTTGCACACATTTCCTTAATCTTTGAAGTAGGCAATTCCTTCAATTTCTCTCTCCCCTCCTCTGAACCAGTTTCCCCAGGTCTGGCCTCTTGCTCTTGAAGTTGATCTATCAGCTCATCAGTGGTTAGTTCTTCATTGTCCTCCTCCACCAACTCTTCCACATCCTCCCCACTAACCTCCAACCCCAAGGACTTTCCCAATGCCACAATGGATTCCTCAACTGGTATACTACTCCTCTCAGGGTTAGCCTCAAACCCTTCAAAATCCCTTTTGTCTACACATTCTGGCCACAGTTTCTTCCAAGCAGAGTTCAAGGTTCTCTTAGTCACTCCCTCCCAAGCCTTACCTATAAGGTTTACACAACTGAGGATATTAAAGTGATCCTTCCAAAACTCTTTTAGAGTCAATCCAGTGTCTGTGGTCACTTCAAAGCACTTTTGAAACAGAGCTTTTGTGTACAGTTTCTTGAAGTTGGAAATGACCTGCTGGTCCATGGGCTGCAGGAGAGGAGTGGTATTAGGAGGCAAAAACTTCACCGTAATGAAGCTCATGTCCCATAAAGTCGCTCTGCCACGTCTGTAGGATGACCAGGGGCATTGTCTAACACCAGGAGGCACTTAAGGTCTAATTTCTTTTGAGTTAGGTAATCTTTCACATTGGGGGCAAATGCATGGTGTAACCAGTTATAGAAAAATTCCCTAGTGACCCATGCCTTACTGTTTGCCCTCCACAGCACACACAAATTATCCTTGAGGACATTCTTTTGCCTGAACGCTCTGGGAGTTTCAGAGTGATACACTAATAAAGGCTTAACTTTGCAATCACCAGTAGCATTGGCACACATCAACAAAGTAAGCCTGTCTTTCATAGGCTTATGTCCTGGGAGTGCCTTTTTCCTCCTGAGTAATGTAGGTCCTGTTTGGCATTTTCTTCCAGAACAGGCCTGTTTCATCACAATTAAACACTTGTTCAGGTTCCAGTCCTTCAGTTTCTATGTACTCCTTGAATTCCTGCACATATTTTTCAGCCGCTTTGTGGTCCGAACTGGCAGCCTCACCATGCCGTATCACACTATGGATGCCACTACGCTTCTTAAATCTCTCAAACCAACCTTTGCTGGCCTTAAATTCACTCACATCATCACTAGTTGAAGGCATTTTTTTAATTAAATCGTCATGCAACTTCCTAGCCTTTTCACATATGATCGCTTGAGAGACGCTATCTCCTGCTATCTGTTTTTCATTTATCCACACCAATAAGAGTCTCTCAACATCTTCCATCACTTGCGATCTTTGTTTCGAAAAACACAGTTTTAAAACCTTTGGCAACAACAGCTTCCTTGATTGCCGTTTTCTTGCCCACAATAGAACCAATGGTTGATTTTGGTTTGTTGTACAACCTGACCAGGTCGGTGATACGTACTCCACTTTCATACTTATCAATGATTTCTTTCTTAAGTTCAATGGGTATTCTTACCCTTTGAGGTGTAGGGTTGGCACTAGAAGCTTTCTTGGGGCCCATGGTCACTTATTTTCAACAAACAGAACCGAAAACACTGTAATAATACGAAATATTCCGAGTGTATGCTTGAATGTTACCGCGGAGGCTAGCTGGTAAACAATGGGACAGGCGGCACATGTGAGGCTGGCTGAGGCCGCACATTGGACGCGTCTCGGACGAAGTTCGCTGAGCGGGTTTTTGTCTACTATGCGGGGCAAAATTTTAGCGATCAAAGCGTTCGCTATGCGGAATGTTCGCTATGCAAGGCGTTCGCTATGCGGGGGTCCACTGTATAATGGTAGTGGGCTTGTGTCAACCATCTTTGATATTGATAAATTAGACACATGTGCAGCTCTTGGGTATCTTTATTGAGGAAATGTTTTGCCACACAGTGGCTTCATCAGTCCATACAAAGGAGAATCTTGAAGAACAGGAGGAGAATGAGGTAATCAGTCCCTCAGCCTTGAGTCTATGTGATCAACGTGTCGGTTCTCTGAACCATTGATCTACGTCTTTGATAGTGTTTTAATGTCACCTTTCTATTTTTATATTTTCAAATGTTTATACAGTAGTGTACTGTATATTGTAATAAACAAAATAGAGGAAATCAGCTCTATTGTACATTATTTAGGTATGCATACTGGTCAGAGAGCCTGTCGTAAGTCCGAGTTGTTGGTAAACGAGTACGTTGCTAAGTGAGGAGAGGCTGTACTCCAATACAGTCTTCTACTGAAACTATTTTTTATGTTAATGCACTGACTCTTCTCTTCAAACTTTTAATACAGGTATTTTATATAAATCAAGCATTCATAAGTTACATAAATTTGGGAAAACAGTAGGCAAGAATAATGCTGTCTGGTGAACAAGACTTTCAATGAGCAACAACAACAACATAAGCTGGGGCAAGGGCACTACTTGTGCTCTGCAGCTAGGAGGGAGAGGGGACGGGGAAGTTGAAGGTATTGCAGGTGGCCTAGTTTCTGAGAAGATGCTATTTATAACCTAGGGAGCAGATTGTGAAAATAAATTTTGTGACTTAGATTTTCACAGATATGTCAGAGTGGGGAAGAGTAACTAGTAGTGTACAACAAGGATTGGTATTAGGACCAATGCTGTTTCTGGTTAATGTGAATGACATACTAGATGGAGTAGTCAGATTTATCTCTATTCACTGATGTACAACAATTATAGAGAATACAAATAGATGAAGGCAGAGAAAGGCTGAAAAAGGATATGGACAACTGCAGGGTTGGTCACATAAGTGGTTGCTTGAATTCAACCCCAGCAAATGCAAGGTTGTGAAGACTGGGAAAGGGCCAGAAGACTGGACATAGAGTATAGACTTGGGGGGGGTAAGGGCTGCAGACCTTCAAAGAGAAGAAGCTGGGAGTAAGCATAGTGCCTGCCATGTAGCCAGAGGCTCACATCAACCAAATAAACCTCTACAGCCATTGGTCACTAGGCAAATCTGAGTGGCCTTCAAGAATCTCAACAAACTCATTCAGGGTACTTGATACAATATATGTCAGGCCCATTTTGGAGTATGCAGCACCAGTATAGAATCTACACAAGAAGCATGTTAAGTAACTGGAGAATGTGCAGATGTTTGCAACTAGACTAATTCCAAAGTTAAGGGGTATCAGCTATGAGGTAAAGCTAAAGGAACTTAATTTAATCACCCTGAAGGACAGAAGAACCTTGAAAGGAATGATAACATAAAAAATACACATAAGAATTGATGGGTAGACAGGGACAAGCCGTTTGAAAGACAGGAAGCAGGTACTTAGGGGCAGAGCTGAAAGTTACAGACACTGACCCACGAAATCATAATCAGGGTGGTCGGGAATTGGAATGACCTCAAAGAAGTGGTGGAGGCAGACTCCATATGTAGTCTTAAGAATACATATGATAGGGTCCATGACTAGGAGAGAGTGAATCTAGCAAGCGGCAAGTTAGGAGACAGGGTTAGGAGCTAAGACTCAACCCCTGCAACCATATACAGGCAAATCACATTGCATTGACAGACTGACAGACTGTTTACTGTATTTGGGAGTGGATACTGGATATGTCGGATAACATGTCTATGAATGACTAGTGAATCATGGAAATAGATGATGGCAAGGAGGTAGTAGGGGTCTCAAGTTCATGTAAAGAAAATTTTATAAATGGAATGTAACAGGACAGAATAGTGGTACCAGCACTTCTGTGTAGATATGACCCATGTCACTAGAAAGTAGCAGTGAGGAAGCTGAATTCGGTGATGTCTTGTTCGAAATTAATGTACTGCAAATGTCATGCAATGCATAAGAAATTAATAGTTAGAAGACTGTGTTGCTATGAACAGTATAATTCATAGAGCATAAGGTGTTTTTTATATGATTTTGTTATTTACAAAAGATGAAGACAAGCTGCTCAAGAGTGTGTATAAAATTGTGACAAACTGAATATAGTGTAATGGACATCCCAGGAAAGGTTGGGAGGATGTTAAGGATGCTCTGAGAAGTAGGAGCCTCCTGTGAGTAAATTATTGGAGATTTTTTTTTTTTTAGGGGTGAGGGAGGAGAGAAGAATTTACCATGCTGCTGGTGCAAGCAATGGAACATACATAAAGGAATTCTGGAAAACTGGTTAGCCTGAGTTCTGGTGAGGATAGTTTTGGTGCACTGGAATTACAGGCAGGCCTCACTTTACAGAGCTTCACTGAACAGCATTTCACTAATACGATGGTTTTCAATTATACCCATTCTCCATATTGAAATTTCCTACAATAAATGTATTCATCACTCACTATAAGCTAAGGATGAAAATATTTTAAGGTAAGTAATGTGTGTATTACATGCATTTTTTAAGCCTAGCTATACTGCTCACTTAATATATGATAGTTATCAGGCTTTTATATACATTTGAAAGTGAAAAAAGAATATGATTCACTTCACAGCAATTTAGCTTTACAGCAATAGCCTGGACCCTAACCTGCTGTATAAACAAGGCCCTCCTGTATTTCCATGGCTTTCTGTAAAGACAAATATAGAATGAGTGATGGTGAATGCATTTTTCTTTACATCACTGCCTGGGTGAAAAACAGCATTATTAAAAAAACTACATTAACTTGTTTACATAAATACAAGCTACATGTTTTTTTAAGCACTTCATGCTTACTTTATATCCCTTGCTGTTTGTACAATATCTCTTTGATTGTTGAGAATGCTGTCAACTTCATGTCGACGGATGGTGTCACCTGGTAGGGCAGCAACAGGTGCAGGAGGAACTTGGCCTGTAGGCACAACTTGACCTCCTAAGAATACAAGAATATTATGAAATTTATAAAATCACAAATCTTTATCACAAAGACATGAATACTGTTTAAGAATATTTACAGATAATAGTAGGATAGGTGGTGCTTTTTTTTTTTTTTTTTTTGGCAAAAATGACTTGTCCAGTGATTTAGCCTCTGGGAAGACAGTATGAATGATTGTCAAGGTGTTTCTTTTATGGGTCACTGCCTCAGTGAGAGACAGACAGTGTGTTAAAAAATCTAATGATAAAAAACACATTAGGTTCACTGAAGACTATTTTGGGGGTCACTGCCCCTGCAACCTGGTCCCAGATCAAGCTTGATGGCTTGATCAACAAGGTTTATACAGATAAAATGAGAAGCCCACTAAATACACAGCATTTTGGGCAGAATTAAACAAAGACAAATTGCTTAATACCGTGCTGTGCATGGTTGTAGAATGGTTTAAGCTTGCGAGTTTCGGTATTGACAGATAGGATGGAAAAAATATGTATGAGGTCTGATCACAACTTAGATCTTGGATGTAGGGAGTATGAAGAAAGTAAATGTGTTCAAATATTTGGAAATGGACTTGTCAACATAAGATTTTATGACAGATGCAGTGAACCACAGAACTGACAAGTAGAAAAAGGTACGTGCTGCACAGAGGATTATGTGGAGATGAAACATTATCCATGCAGGCAAAAAGGGAAATGTACCAGAGTATACTGGAATCTGAAGTATGGGCTTAGAATGCTGGAGTGAGGAAGAGGATGGAGGCAGTAGAGATGTTTTGTTTGAGGGCAATGTGTGGCATGAATATTATTCAGAGAAGTCGGAGTTCAGAGTTTGCAGATTAGGTGTGGAGTTACAAAAAGCATTATTCAAAGGACTGAGGAGGGGTTGTTGAGGTAGTTTGGACATTTAGAGAGGATAAAGTAAGATGGCTAGAAAAGCATATAAATCTTGGGTGGAGAGGAGGAGTAGGGGGTCTTCCAAGGAATGGCTGGAGGAGGGGGGGAGGGGGGTAAAGGTTTGGAGTGCCAGGGACTTAGATGTCCAACAGGCTTGTATGAGTGTTAGATAACAGTGGAGGCAAGTGGTTTTATGATTTCATGTGTTGGAGAGTAAAAAGGTAACATTTATGAAGGGATTCAGGGAAACTGGTGCAGTGCCTGCATACTGAAGGAGAGGTGAGGGATGTTGCAGCCTGAAGGAGCATCTGAACTATGATGTTGGTGCCCTTTTGACAAGACAGTGATTGAATAACAGTGAAAGTGTTTTCTTCTTCATAATGCCACCCTACCTCAGTGGGAAATGGCTGGTGCTAAAAAATAATAAAAATAATTGGATGGGCAGAATAAAAACCATCACAGTGGAAGAAATAGCAACAATAATAATGATTGGATAAAAGTCAGAGATAGTTAAATTAAAATGAGGGGGCAGGATTAGAACAAGACAAGGAATACATGACATAATTCAAAAGAAGTAAACTGTAATAAAATGAAAGTAATCAAAGAAATTTGCTTTAGTGAATCACATAATTACATGACCTGACTATGGAATTTAAGTAAACACTATTTACTTTAGCTTTGATTTGAATTCATTAAAGGTGTTACACTTTTTAATTCATCAAAGAAGTTATTAAACATTTTTGACCCTTATTTGTAGAGAACATCTGTAGATATTCAAATGAACATGAGGGTATCAATGAAGTACATGTATTTGTTTCTGTGTGATGCCTGTGCCTTCTCTTACAATTTTCCAGGCAATATCATAGGTCAGCATTAGCATTGCAGTACAGTGTTTGGAAGATGTGAAGTGTACAGTATTACGTATTATTATTATAATCAGAGAAAGTGCTGAACTGACAAGGGTCATACAGTGCTGCGGGGCAGAAAATAGTGCTGGAAGGGACACTAAGGGCTATGTGTCAAAGTTCGTACAGTAAAGCAGCTGCTGACAAAGTCAAAGAGTGATTTTAAGTCAAAGGTAGGGCTGTCTGCAAGAAGAGAAGAGAAGGTAAAAGTGGTAGGGCAGCGGCGGCGTTGGAGGTAAACCCTGCGAGCTCACTGGAAGTGTACAGTAGCATGTATGAACTAAATTTATATTTATTTATATAAAGGATTAGCGTAATGCCTATATTTAGTTTGAGATCAACTTGATAGCTGCCTTTTGTTGAGTGACTGATTTAAGGTAGATTGCTGAAGTGAATCCCTAGGAACAATTCTGGTGCGATGTATGGGTGAATTAGGGTAAAGAATTAGTAATATATATATATATATATATATATAATAAAAGCATTAGTCAGAGGGCAGAAGAGGGGTTGTTGAGGTGGTTTGGTCATTTAGAGAGAATGGATCAAAGTAGAATGACATGGAAAGCATATAAATCTATAGGGGAAGGAGAGAGGGGTAGGGGCCGTCCTCGAAAGGGTTGGAAAGAGGGGGTAAAGGAGGTTTTGTGGGCGACGAGCTTGGACTTCCAGCAAGCGTGCATGAGCGTGTTAGATAGGAGTGAGTGGGGACGAATGATACTTGGGACCTGACGATCTGTTGGAGTGTGAGCAGGGTAATATTTAGTGAAGGGATTCAGGGAAACCGGTTATTTTCATATAGTCGGACTTGAGTCCTGGAAATGGGAAGTACAATGCCTGCACTTTAAAGGAGGGGTTTGGGATATTGGCAGTTTGGAGGGATACGTTGTGTATCTTTATACATATATGCTTCTAAACTGTTGTATTCTGAGCACCTCTGCAAAAACAGTGATTATGTGTGAGTGTGGTGAAAGTGTTGAATTATGATGAAAGCATTTTCTTTTTGGGGATTTTCTTTCTTTTTTGGGTCACCCTGCCTCGGTGGGAGATGGCCAACTTGTTGGAAAAAAAAAAATATATATATATATATATATACAGTGGACCCCCGGTTAACGATATTTTCTCTCTCCAGAAGTATGTTCAGGTGCCAGTACTGACCGAATTTGTTCCCCTAAGGAATATTGTGAAGTAGATTAGTCCATTTCAGACCCCCAAACATTCACGTACAAACGCACTTACATAAATACACTTACATAATTGGTCGCATTCGGAGGTGATCGTTATGCGGGGGTCCACTGTATATATATGTGTGTATATATATAATATATAAAATATATATATATATATATATATATATATATATATAAATATATATATATATTCGTCTTGCTACTTCTACTTACACTTAGGTCACACTACACATACATGTACAAGCACATATATACAAACACCCTCTGCGTTTTCCTCTATTTTCTTTCTAGTTCTTATTGTTTATTTCCTCTTATCTCCATGGGGAAGTGGAACAGAATTCTTCCTCCGTAAGCCATGCGTGTTGTAAGAGGCGACTAAAATGCGGGAGCAAGGGGCTAGTAACCTCTTCTCCTGTATATATTACTAAATGTAAAAAGGAGAAACTTTCGTTTTTCCTTTTGGGCCACCCCGCCTCGGTGGGATACGGCCGGTGTGTTGAAAGAAAATATATATATATTATATATATATATATTATAAAATATATATATATATATATAATATATATATTATAATATATATATATATATAAATATATATATATATATAATATATATATATTATATATATATTTTATATATATATATATATATATATAATATATATATATATATATTTATATATATATATATATATATATCTATATTATATATATATATATATATATATATATATATATTTATATATATATATATATATATTTTTTTTTTTTTTTTTTTTTTCAACAAGTCGGCCGTCTCCCACCGAGGCAGGGTGACCCAAAAAAGAAAGAAAATCCCCAAAAAGAAAATACTTTCATCATCATTCAACACTTTCACCACACTCGCACATTATCACTGCTTTTGCAGAGGTGCTCAGAATACAACAGTTTAGAAGCATATTTCGTATAAAGATACACAACATATCCCTCCAAACTGCCAATATCCCAAACCACTCCTTTAAAGTGCAGGCATTGTACTTCCATTTCCAGGACTCAAGTCCGACTATATGAAAATAAACCCCGGTTTCCCTGAATCCCTTCACTAAATATTACCCTGCTCACACTCCAACAGATCGTCAGGTCCCAAGTATCATTCGTCTCCATTCACTCCTATCTAACACGCTCATGCACGCTTGCTGGAAGTCCAAGCCCCTCGCCCACAAAACCTCCTTTACCCCCTCTTTCCAACCCTTTCGAGGACGACCCCTACCCCTCTTTCTTTCCCCTATAGATTTATATGCTTTCCATGTCATTCTACTTTGATCCATTCTCTCTAAATGACCAAACCACCTCAACAACCCCTCTTCTGCCCTCTGACTAATGCTTTTATTAACTCCACACCTTCTCCTAATTTCCACACTCCAAATTTTCTGCATAATATTTACACCACACATTGCCCTTAGACAGACATCTCCATTGCCTCCAACCGTCTCCTCGCTGCTGCATTACCACCCAAGCTTCACATCCATATAAGTGTGTTGGTACTACTATACTTTCATACATTCCCTTCTTTGCCTCCATAGATAACGTTTTTTGACTCCACATATACCTCAACGCAACACTCACCTTTTTTCCCTCATCAATTCTATGATTAACCTCATCCTTCATAAATCCATCCGCCGACACGTCAACTCCCAAGTATCTGAAAACATTCACTTCTTCCATACTCCTCCTCCCCAATTTGATATCCAATTTTTCTTTATCAAAATCATTTGATACCCTCATCACCTTACTCTTTTCTATGTTCACTTTCAACTTTCTACCTTTACACACATTCTCAAACTCATCCACTAACCTTTGCAATTTTTCTTTAGAATCTCCCATAAGCACAGTATCATCAGCAAAAAGTAACTGTGTCAATTCCCATTTTGAATTTGATTCCCCATAATTTTAATCCCACCCCTCTCCCGAACACCCTAGCATTTACTTCTTTACAACCCCATCTATAAATATATTAAACAACCATGGTGACATTACACAATCCCTGTCTAAGACCTACTTTTACTGGAAGTATTCTCCCTCTCTTCTACACACCCTAACCTGAGCCTCACTATCCTCATAAAAGCTCTTTACAGCATTTAGTAACTTACCACCTATTCCATAAACTTGCAACTTCTGCCACATTGCTCCTCTATCCACTATCATATGCCTTTTCTAAATCCATAAATGCAATAAAAACTTCCCTACCTTTATCTAAATACTGTTCACATATATGCTTCAATGTAAACACTTGATCTACACATCCCCTACCCACTCTGAAGCCTCCTTGCTCATCCGCAATTCTATATTCTGTCTTACCTCTAATTCTTTCAATTATAACCCTGCCGTATACTTTTCCTGGTATACTCAGTAAACTTATTCCTCTATAATTTTTACAATCTCTTTTGTCCCCTTTTCCTTTATATAAAGGGACTATACATGCTCTCCGCCAATCCCTAGGTACCTTCCCCTCTTTCATACATTTATTAAACAAAAGTACCAACCATTATTAAGAGCGAGTTGATTTGTAATCATCTAGGTGCTGAGCTCTTTTTGTTCACTGTAAACTATGGTGCTTCATATCAAGGGGTTGTGTCATCATCAAAACATATAGGTTATAGATGCTGGGTAGCATTAAGGAAGTCCTTGATATAGTAAGATAAAGAAGAGATCTCAAATTCATTGGTAGAGTACTAGAAGAAGTATCATTTATGTCTATATACTATTGTTCATTACCGAGGCATACCAAAAGTCTTTTGTAGATCAATAAATTGTCTAACAGATACTCACTTTTTTTTCAAGTGCTGAATAAACTGAACTGTTGTTAATAATGTGCCACCTATTTTTTTTTTTTTAAGGTCTGAATCAAATTAAGGAGTAAGCAAATTGTCCTGGTTAAGGATGTGTACCATGTACAGCTTCTTGTGCATTACTTTCTCAAATATTTGTTATTGCATTTGTACACTGAAACTGGAGTGTAGTTATTAACTTTAGTTGAATCTTTACCTTTGTGGATGGTTGTTATGTTGGATCTTTCGAGAACACCTGGAAAGGTTTGCTCTTCAATTGAATTATTGAAAGGCATTACAATAGCTTGAAACGATGTATGAAGCATTTATTTTTGTTAGTAAATGTGAAAATAGCTAAGTGATTAGTTGTCCTGTTCGATTATACCTGTACCCTCAAATGCTGTTAATTAGGGTCAGATGTGATCAAGAACAGAAGCAGAAATTTTGGTGAATCTGATTTTTTGACAGAGTATTAAAGAGGCAAGAATAAACACTGTGCAGGAAGCATGACGGGGTTGTTTGACAACAGCCATACTAAAGTCATCAGTAATTATACGACTTGCAGAGTTGCTCATTATCTTGTTTATTAGATTGCCACTGAAGCCTGGTATACTGGTTTGAGGTATTTTGGAAATTGCTCCAAACTGTTATTAGATCAATAGTACTGACTTTAAATTGAGAAAATTCATATTCACCATTAGTGTTAATCATATTCATACAACTGAATTCACTAGTATAGTACACAGCAGTGTCTCCACCTTTCTTCTTTGGTCTAAAGTATATCACTTCTGTGTTATACTTTTACATGTGTAGTTGACATACAGGTATTGCAGAATTTTATACAAGATGTAAACTTCATAAAGAAAGTTACCAAAAGTATTGACACTTGTGAAACTCCATTAGCAGACATTCCTGAAGAAAACATTCTTCCTCCTATCACAGCTCATATTTTTCAAACAAAATCTCATCCAATTAATATTGGAGCTTGTCTTTTAAGCCTACTGTGTTCGTAGCTTCCACATCAGCCTTACATAATGAATTATTTAAAACATTTATGAAAAATAAATACATGAACAAAGCCATTTTCCCAATTCCTTTCATTTATTACTCTAACAGATTTAATGTAAAGGATTTGGTCAGTCAGAAACAGAATCTGACAGAATGTTTCATTATCGTAAGTGTATTATCCACTCCAGTATTTTTTTCAATGTCAGCCAAAGAGTCTCTCTCCTATGTCAATACTAAAGGAACAACACCCCCACACTCGAATATTAATCCAACTATCAATCAGCCTTTCAGATTTGCCTTGGTTTCCCTTTTGTTTATTAAAATTCAATATTCAGATGTCCCACAGGGTCAAAATTAACTTACCTAATCCAGAGTGAACCGCAGAAACCAAGCCCAATGTTCGTTCTTGCCGACCAATAATTTCATCCATTTTGGAGTGTAATTGCCGTATAATCTCATGGATCTGAAGGATAACCAAATCAGTTTTGAAATATGAAATCTAAAAAAATTACATACAGTACAAACATTTCCGGGTGGTTTTTCACACCTAACTTCCACTTTGATTTGTTGATTCATGGTACTCCTGTGTATATGGTGTTTGCTACGAGAAATGTAATACTGTACTTTTCCTTACATAATGTTGCACCTTAAGACAAGTAAATAGCAACAGCTTTACTAATATGATTGCAAAACCAACTGGAAAATTGTTCTGGGATGGTTTTTTAAGACCCTTAAATGTGGATAAAGATGATGAGTACCTGTGTGCTCTACAGTCTCTCCATGCAATAAACAATCCCAAAAATAAGTCACCTGACTCTGTCCGTGGAATATCTGGCGCAATTCCCTTTGTTCCCAGCTCTCATACTCCTCCTCTTTGTCTTTTTGTACAGCATCTGGATTCTGTGCAATGTACCTGAGTAAAGATGTGCAGACATATAACATCATATTAACAAAATGTTCACTTTAAACTCTCTAACAGTGAAGTTCTGAATTATTCAATAACTTCAGGAAGGCTAACACAAAGATTCGTGCCATCTGAGTCAACACTAGGCAAATTTACCACTACTCTGCCTCGATGCTGTACAATGGATAGGTAAGCTACTACCAACTCACTGACTGCATACTCTTATTAAAAAACATATCAATCTATCTTTTAATACAACAAAATACATTACCAATAATGAGGCATTGCATAGAATAGAAACAATGCCAACATCTAACACTAGGAAAAAAAAAATTACATCATAGTTGTCAGTGGTTCTGATGATCATAACTTCCACAGACTCATCACGTACCAGACCTCCTAAATTTGAAAATAAATATTACAGTAATAAAACTAATTATTATTATTATAATCAAAAAAGAAGCGCTAAGCCACAAGGGCTATACAGCGCTGCAGGGTAGGGAAGGAAGCGAGGGTATTGCATGGCAGAAGGGAGGAGGGATGATCAGTAGGTTACAGAAAACAGCGGGGCAGGGGATAGTACGGGGGTAGGGGGTTGCAAGAGATTGAAGTAGAAAGGGCTAAGGTATCAGAATTTGTGAAGTAAGTCAGTTGTTGTCAAAAAGTCTATGAGAGAGTCTGGATGAAAGGTGGGTCCATCAGCGAGAAGGGAAGGTAAAGAGAGAGCAGCAGAGCGAAGACGACGACGGAGGTAAATTCTGCGTGCTCGTTGATAAAGTGGGCAGTCCAACAGAATGTGGCTGACTGATAATGGAACTTGGCAATTCTCACAGAGAGCAGCAGGGCGCCTCTCCATGAGATATCCATGAGTAAGACGAGTATGGCCAATGTGAAGACGGGAGAGAGTAGTCTCCCAACCTCGACACTGGTGATAAGAAGACGGCCAGTAACCTATACTCGGTTTAATAGATTGAAGTTTGTTGCCGAGCATAGTAGACCAACGTTGTTGCCAACGGGTGTGAAGTTGGGAAGATATTGCAGCAAAATAGTCCGTAAATGGAATACCAATACATGAAACTGGTAGGTCATGTACTGCTGACCGCGCAGCAGTGTCTGCCTGTTCATTGCCCTGTACGTCAACATGACCAGGGACCCAACAAAAAACAATATCTTTATGCTTGGTAAAGATGCGGCGTAGCCAAAGTTGGATACGGAGGACTAAGGGGTGAGGTGTATCAAATTTCTGTATAGCCTGTAAAGCACTAAGGGAGTCTGAGACAACCACAAATGATGACACAGGCATAGATGCAATAAGGATAAGTGCTGTAAGGATGGCATACAATTCAGCAGTAAAAATACTAGCCAAAGATAGTAAATGCCCTTGTACGACGCTGTCCGGAAACACTGCTGCGAATCCTACGCCGTCAGAAGACTTAGAGCCATCTGTGTACACAGCAATGGCATGAGAATGAGAGTGAAAATGGTCAAGAAAATGAGAGCGGGAAGCGACCGTAGACAGTTGGGCTTTTGAGCAAGGGAGAGAGAAAGAACAGACTCAAACAGCTGGAACTTCCCAGGGGGGTAGGGAAAAGTGAGATGCTACATGTACATAGAAAGGTGGTAATTGAAGAGAAGACAAGAGCGAATGAAGGCGAAGAGAGAAGGGACGGAGTAAACAGGGGCGGCGAACAAATAAAGAATGTCTACTAATATCAGTGACCATTCTATAAATGGAAGGATTGCGGAGATCATGAGAGCGTACATAGTAGCGAAGGCAATGGGCATCATGGCGATCAGATAAGGATGGAACGTTCGCTTCTGCATAGAGGCTCTTGACAGGGGAAGAGCGAAAAGCACCAAGGCATAAACGTAATCCTTGGTGATGAATGGGGTTAAGGCTAGAGAGAGTAGCAGGAGATGCCGCTGAATAGATCTGGTCACCATAATCAAGTTTCGATAAGATAAGGGTGGAATGTAGGCGAAGGAGGGTTCGACAATCAGCTCCCCATGAAAGATGAGCAAGGGTTTTAAGAGGTTCAGCCGGCTGTGGCAAGTTGCCTTCAGAGAGGTAATGTGAGGTTTCCAGGATAACCTATGATCAAAGAGGAGGCCCAGAAACTTGACTATCACGTTCAGGGATACGGGAGCCATAGAGGTACAAAGGATGATCGGAGATGACAGAGTGTCTAGTGAAAGTAATTTGGTGGGTTTTAGTGCTGGAAAATTTAAACCCACGTGTGGTGGCCCAATTGGAAACACAGTCGACTGCATGCTGGAGAGAAACTGTAATAAGGTGACAGTCAGCGCCTGCACAGGCAATAGCGAAGTCATCAACATAGAGTGATGACCAAATATTTGATGGAAGACTAGAGGCCAAATCATTAATAGCAAGGAGAAAAAGTGTTGTGCTCAGAACACATCCCTGGGGGACACCTTCAGCTTGGATAAAGTCCAGGGAGAGCACATTATTAACCCAAACACGGAAATGCCTGTCAGTTAAAAAGTTCTTAAGGAAGGATGGTAGATTGCCTCTAAGGCCTAGGGAGTGGGCTTGGGCTAAAATATTATACCTCCAAGTTGTGTCATATGCCTTCTCAAGGTCAAAAAATATGGCAATAACTGAGTGGTTATTCGCAAAGGCATTACGAACATACGTATCCAAGCGTAGTAAGGGGTCTATGGTAGAACGTCCCTTACGAAAGCCATATTGACGAGTGGAGAGACTGTTGTGTGTCTCTAAATACCACATTAAACGTCTATTTACTAGGCATTCCATCACTTTGCAAACTGCACTGGTAAGAGCAATGGGACGATAGTGGGAGGTTTCATGTCCCGTAGTGCCTGGTTTGCGGAAAGGGAGAACAATGGCGGATTTCCACAGCTGTGGAAGAACTCCTTGTGACCAAATAAGATTGTAAAGGCATAATAGGACTGCAAGGGCTGACTGATGTAAATGTTGTAGCATACGAATATGAATGTCGTCGGGCCCAGCTGCCGATGATCGGCAAGCTGAGAGTGTTGCCTCCAGTTCTTGAAGTGTAAAAGGCACATTATACTGTTCTTCTCTGAGAGAAGGAAAGTCCAAGGGTGCTAACTCTCTGGCAGACTTTGAGGAAAGAAATGAGGGGCATAGATGGAGTCCCTGAGAAATACGGACCAGATGATTGTCAATTTCATTGGCAACATCTAGTGGGTTTGCTATATCAACACCGGCAACCCGCAGAACAGGAGCCGGGTCAGGAGAATATTTACCACTCAGTTTTCGTACATTTTTCCAGACTGCACTCTTAGAGGAAGCAGAGGTGATGGGGGAGACATAATCTTGCCAGCAAGTGCGTTTAGCGTCACGGATGACACGGCGAGCGATCGCACGCTTCTGCTTAAATTCAAGAAGTCTCTCTGTGGTTCTATTGTACCGGTACCTGCCCCATGCAGCGCGTTTCAAACGTACTGCACGAGCACAAGCAGGAGACCACCAAGGCACGCATTTCTGAGAATGCCTGCCCGAAGTTTGGGGTATAGAATGAGAAGCTGCGGTTAAAACGGAGGACGAGAAGAGGTGTAAAAGCTCATCGATGGAGGACGAAGAAGGAACCTCTCTAAAAACAGTTAGGTGTGAGTAAAGGTTCCAATTTGCCTGATCAAATTGCCAGCGTGGGATGCGAAGAGGTGGTGAATATGAAGGGGAAGTAAGAATGATTGGGAAATGATCGCTGTCATGTAAGTCCGGAAGAACAGACCAAGTGAAGTCTAATGCGGCGGAGGAAGAGCAGACTGAGAGATCGATGCAAGAGAGAGTGTGAGTCCGAGGATCAAAATGGGTGCGAGTACCTGTATTTAAAACATGGAGGGGGTGGGTGGCAAGAAAAGCCTCTAACTGAATGCCACGGGAATCACAGTGAGACCCCCCCAGAGGAAATGGTGGGCATTAAAATCACCAAGTAACAGAATCGGTGGTGGTAATGACGAAACAAGAAAGGCAATATCCGGAATAGATAATGCCCGAGAAGGAGAGAGATATAAAGAACAGAGTGTATACCACCTATGCAAGTGGATATGGGCTGCTGTGTAATGCAGCGAAGTACGAACAAATAGCTGATGGTACAGAATATCAGTGCGTAGAAGAAGGGCACTTTCATTAAAGGTCCCATCAGGAAAAGGATCTGAAGAATACAATAAATTATACCCTGAGATGGGAGAGATAACAGCAGTGTAATTTTGGTTCCTGTAAGCAAACACCAACAGGGGAAAACTGGGAGAGTAACATCTGAAGCTCACCCCGATTACCCCTGAGGCCGCGTATATTCCACTGTAAATAGGCCACGATTGGCAATGATAAAGATACCTGAAATCCGCAGGTAAGGGTTCCTACGGACTAGAGGGGTTAGAAAAGTCCACACGCGGAGGCAGTGGAAAACGTTCAAGCAGCGAAGGAACGGTGCGCTGTGAAGAAAGGAGTTGCGCAGATGGAGTAGAGGAGAGAGAAGGAGCGGAGGGTGGATCAGTGTCCATTGATGGTTTGGTCTCTGCAATATATTCAGAGATTGCTTCAAGTGTTTCAGAATTCAGAGACGTCGTATGGGAGACAATATTGGAAATGGTAGGGGGAGGATGAGTAAAGATTGGAACTGTAATGGACTGTACCAAGGTAGGGGGGACGGAAGGGTGGAGGGAACTGGAGAAGCGTGGAAGGGGACAGAAGAGGCAGAAACCTGGAAGGTGGCCAAAGAGGAAGAAACTTGGGAGGGAACAGGGGAGGAAGGTACAGTACGAGGAGGAGGGTGAACCTCTACACTTGTAACAGAGCCAGTGAGAGGGGGAGAACCAGGTACAGAGACAGGGAAGGGAAAATGAGGAGGTGGAAGATGGGTAGGTGTTAACGGACCTTTTTTTGACTTTTGAGAAGTAGAGGGACGATTGGGAGGAGGTGTCATACGAGATCTCGTCGCTACTGAGGCTTGTGAGAGAGAACACGAAGAAGCAAGATCAGACTGAGACATTGAAGTAGG